TATTTGGATCTACATAACTATCGCAAATATTTAATTTTTCTGGAAATTATATGTACTTAGTATAAGCAATGTTTTAATAATTTTATTATCGGCTTTAGCCACAAAACTCTGTCAGTTTTAGTGTAGGTATACAATAAAATTGTAGCCTACATACCTTGCTTCTTTCTTCAATGTTCTTTTCCAATTCTTTGAATTTGAAGGTCTTTGTTTGGCATTTTCTTGATTTCATTCAGAAGGATAGTGTTCCATAATTAAAAATACTTTATAACACTCCTCAAAACTGAATACTTTTTGTAATGAAACAAATTTTCTAATTGTGTTTTTCTCGAAACAACCACCATTTGTATGTTTACAAGTATACTAAAATGACATTATCATCATGAAGTGTAGTTAAGTCACGTGATGAATATCTTGATGTTTATGGTTGAATTGGATATTGTTAACTATGCTGTGAATACCTCAAGTAGATTGTTAGCGTTGCAGTCAATGCCAGATTTATTTTCTAAATTTGTCTAAGTACTTTGACGAAAATACTTAGACTTATCATATAAAAAAATGGCTAGAATGCAAGGAAGAAAGAAAACCTCAATTTGAATAAAAATTGAAGATTGGTAATTTTGATATGACATGCCTTACTTACTTCTATGATCCTATTCATTAACTCATGGAGAGATTCACAACTGTCAGCGAATACCACCATATCGTCAGCGTATGTATTTCGTCCATATGCAAAGTTTTTGATTTTTATATGTGATGATGTTCCCATGTTGATCTCGCAATCTAGGATTTGTGAAACAGCTGCTTCTTCTTCTAGTTCCATGACCGTTATCAATCGTTGGATATCATGTTGGCTACCATATTCGCTATCGTGACTTTATTGACAGCAGCTCTAAATAACGATGTAGTTGATTTTCCATACAATTGACTTAGATTTTTCAGCCATGATGTTCTTCTTCTACCAAGACCGCGATTACCTTGAATCTTTCCCTGAATGATCAGATGTAAAAGATCATATTTTTCAGGGTGGCATCAAACCAGCTGCTGGTTTAACCTTTTTATGTATATTAAAGTATCGTGTATTTGTTTGAACAACTCTGTCTCTTCCCACTATGACTTTAACCGATTTTTTTTGGCCTTTTGTATTTCAGTTCTTATTTGTCTCTAAATATTGTTTTGCTCTTTAATTTTCTTCTTTCTTTCATGAGTTGCAGTATATTGTCATTCATCAAACTTTTCCTTTTCTCTTTCTTTTCTATTAGATGATCTTCTCTAATTCACATATATACATGTTTGATATTACTTAGTTTCTGTGAAAGAATCCTAATTCGGCACTTGAGTACCTATTTTAATGGTAAAGCAGTGTGTACCAGTTTAATGTTAAGGCAGTGCCAAGAATACCAAATAAGATAAATCGCTACCCAAATCACTATTATCGGTTAAAATTTACAATTCTCTAGATTCCGCATATACATACTTAATAACTTATATTGATCCATTATCGAATAAAAATAATTATCCTTACATGTACCCAGGTGCATGTAACCATGCTCTCTCAACATGTTAACAAATATTCCACTCTCAACTGTCTATCCAATAGCAAAAGAGTGTAAAAATATAAAAAGCCATGAAGTTAGCAGTTCTTATATACCGGATCATTTTATAGAATCTTTTAAAGCGACACTGAAAAGTTTTGGAGCTATTGTGTCTTCCTGACTAGCTCCTCTGGTTATCGGTATTTGTTGTTTCTACTTAGATTCTAATTGTTTTTATAACTTTGTTATATATCTATGATACATATGTACTATACATGTATACAGGGTGTCTCCAAAATAACGCTTATAATTTATAATTTCCTTCCTGATAAAGTTTGAAAAAAAAACCGAAAAACATCGATTTTTATTTTCAAATTGTAATTTTTTTGTTACACATCTAATTTTTTTCTGGTATATTTGTCGAGCTTATGACGTTGTCGACTTTTTGTAAATAAGGCTTCCTATATTTAATTAAATAATTGAATAGTCCTTGAATAGTAGAGAAATTTTTGACGATATAGGGTTTAGCAATCCTTCTTTAATTACTTTATGAAATATTCGAGGAATTATGTTAACATTTCTGTTCAAACAATTAAAATTTTTGCGCTGAGTTTTTGTAGTTCTCGTTTATTTATCACCCATTCAGTTTTTGCAGTACAAAAAGTATGCGACAAAAGGTTATAAAAAGCATTTGATCGGGGACCGAGAAGAAAATTGATATATAAACTAGTATAAACACTTTGGCATTCGCAGACAACTTCTTGAGTGGATTAATGATTTTTTAACAAATCGGGAGTTTTGTGTTAGAGTTGGCAAATCGCTGTCATCTAAAAAACCTGTTTTAAGTGGTGTACCACAAGGATCTGTTTTGGGTCCACTACTATTTGTGTTGTATGCTAGTGATCTTGATTCTCATAACATATCTAGGAAAGCTTTCTACGCAGATGATACAAAAATATTTACTGACCCACTTTTGAATGGACAAGACTTACAAAGTGACTTAGATTCGATCTTCAAGTGGTGTTCGGATTGGATGTTACCTCTAAATAGAGATAAGTGTGTAATTTTACATTTGGGAAAAAATAACCCGCGTTTGTCTTATTCGATAGACGGGCATTTACTGAATACTGTGCGACCATATTGTGACCTTGGTGTTACAATTACTGAAAATTTGAGTTGGTCGGAGCATATTTCAAACATCACTAAAAAAGCGAATAGTAAATTATACCTACTTAATAAGACTTTTACAAAAATATCCTTTTCGGGTTCTATTCGTTTATATAAAACTTATGTCCGACCCCTATTGGAGTATTGCGGAACAGTTTGGTGCCCAGAATTAGTGCGCGATAGAACTCTTCTCGAAAATTTCCAAAAGAAAGCCACCAGACTATCTTTCAAACGAAGAATGCCAGATTACCCAAAAAGACTTTCTTTGGCAGGGTTACCAACTTTTGAAGCTCGTCGACTCCGTGGTGACTTAATTATCACCTTCCGAAGTTTAAAGTTTGGATATGGAAATTTGCAGCACTTGTTTATTTTAGATCATCACAGCAGACTATGTGGACACAGTTTGAAACTGAAGAAGGAATCCTTTTCATGGACAAGACGCCAACATTTTCTGTGTAATCATATTTTTAGTATATATAACAGTCCCCTAACGGAAATTATAAATTCACCATCTATAAATTCTTTTAAAAACCAACTAGACTGTTACATGTTTGTAAACTGAACAATACTGTATACAATTTACTAGTTCATAGTTTATTAGCGTATAATATAACTAAGTAATTATTTTGTAATGTACAATCTCATTTTTCTTGTAAATGGGCTTATGGGTCTTCATGACCCCAGCCTTATTACTATGTAATAATCATAATAATAATAAATAATAAAAATTGTAAAATAGCTGGTGTTTATTGGACATAACCTATCTGCAGTGAAGTATTTTCCAAAAATAGAAAGACAAAGAATAGAATTTTTGATTATGGTTGGTTGTGGAGACCAATTGAGTAGTCAACAAGAAGTGTGCGAATTATTTAATAACAAATATCCAGAACAGAGAATTAATCAAAATACCTATTGTAAGTAGAGTAATCAGCAAAGTTGATACAGGAATCAGGAAGTGGGAGCGTCAGAGGTTTGTCTAGATCATGACTTCCAACAACGATGGGCGAAAATGATCGTCAGAATGTTATGTTGAATTTTGTTAAAAATCCTCATGTTGGGTCTCAATTTCTACATTTTATGTTGTGCCCTCAAAATGTCTTCTGATGTTTGGGGGACTGGTACAACGTAGGACTGGTAGAACGCACTGGTTGAAAGCTTTCCACTTTAAATGGTATTAATCATTTATTTTAAACATATCTCTCATTTTTTCGAAAGCATCCCAACCTAAACCTACTATTCTGAGTAGTTACCATTGTTGGTTGCCATGCGTTAATCTTATTTCGTGGCTAAATACACATATTTTTGCATAAATTCTTTAGACGATTTCTCGCCCATATAAGTGTCAACTCACTGTGTCAAATTATTTGTGGAAGTCAACAAAAATAAGAACCAGGCATCTATTATATTCGATAATCTTTTCGATTAGAGTTTTAAAGCACTGCAGATGGTCATTTGTTCCGTGGCCTAACCAAAACCTTTCTTCTTTTAACTGATAGAAATCGAGTTTTTCTTATACAAGAAAAATATTTTATAAGAAAGTACTTATAACTTAAAAACTGAAACATTCCTTTTTGTTATATAGGAAAAAATATTAAAAATATGTTAACAACTTCACTGTCTAATGAATCACATATGATTCAAAGAAACTAATTAAATCACATATAAATCAATACTACAATGTGTAATAACTTTAGAAACTATGAAGTCTATAATTCTTATCGGTACAGGTTAAACAAGATAAACTTATCACTCAAGAGAGGGGGACTTTTGGCCAACCATATTTGTTAATATTCGGCCAACCATTTATAACTTACGTAGGTAATAAAAAATAATGATCTGGGACCCAATGCCGTACAAAAATATTAATACCAGGAGCAGGAAAAACTTTTATTTTCGGAAAACTTTTTACCCATTTTTGGTAATTTGACACGTCATTCATACACAATGTTTCGAATCGGTATATATATATATATATATATATATATATATATATATATATATATATATATATGTATATACAGGTGCAACCCTTAATCTGAATCCCCATGCTTTGAGTACCGATTAGAATTGGTGACATACTTTTCAAGTTGTTGTCAAATGTAATTCAATGGTAGATGTTATTATAAAGTTAAAATAGCGTTGGACGTGGTATACTCCGGGTATATGTTACCATTGGGACAGTGAAGTTGCACCGATACTGAAATAATTCATTTTCCTTATTAAAATGGCAAAATGATTGTTGATTTATAATCCACTTCATTTGTTATAAAATATATCTAACGTATGTATTCCTAATTTCAGGAAGTCTGTATGACGTGACGGGATCGTACAATCCAGGATTCATATTAGCAGGAACAGCGATAGGACTTAGCGGTATAATTCTATTCGCCATTCCCCCAATACAGAGGTGGCAGGCTAAAAGGACACAGTCCAAGCAGATCAGCATCAGCTTGTAACAGCTACGCATCCAAAGGGGCTATGTTCCAGATTCATTGATTTTTATTAAAAATGATATTTCTTATAGAGTGTATCGGAGTTGAAGCTGAAGTTGTATTTTTATTGAGACAGTATGATATTATTTACAATTGAAAGAGCTTTGTGAGATTAGGTAAAATTATTATTAGATATGGTTATCATCGTCATGTACAAATACTAATATCGGGCATAAAACTATACAATTGTAGTTTTCCATTGGACAAAGTTCTTTGTTTTGAGTAATCGATGCATTTATTTATAAGCCTACATTTCTAATTAATTTTTCTTTAATATTACCAATTTATCTTAGTAGATTAATTTCTTGTTTTTCAGAATTAGTCTTTTATGCGGTATGTAGTTGTAGAGAAGAAGTCACAATTGAAGTGATATGTCATTTTTATCTAATTTGTAGCTCTTCTAGTCATCTTTCATTTAAACAACTTAGGTTATTTGGTTTCAGATTATAAAATTTGTTTCTTTTATTATTTATTATTTTGTTCTCAACGAGAATCTTATATCTTGAAAAACACCTCCATTCCTGTAAACTTAAAGAAAAGGTGAATGCATAACACATGCATACTACCACAGTAGCCCTTGCCAAAAAATCTGCTAAAAAATTAGAAACAACGCAAAGAGCAATGGAACGAATTGCTTAGAATGCTTAGAATATCACTGAGAGACAAGATTAGAAACACCGAGTTAAGACGTAGAACGAAGATTAGGGATATTGTGGAAGAAATTACAAAAATGAAATGGCGCTGGGCAGGTCACGTAGCCCGATATAATGACAACAGGTGGACACGGAGAATTCTAGAATGGAGACCAAGGAAGACAACAAGAAGCATGGGAAGACCTCAAAAAAGATAGGTAGATGACATAAGAGCAGTGGCAGGCAAACAGTGGATTAGATTGGCACAAGATAGAGAAAGATGGAAGCAATTGAGAGAGACCTACATTTAGGAGTGGATGGAAAATGGTTGACAAAGAGAAGAGAGTTCTTAACGAGTATTTAAGATGTTGTTAAAACAAAAACGCATGGGTGATACTTGATACAACTTTTTTCTTTTCTTTATAAATTACTGGAAGCAGCTGCCATGATTTGTTTTAATGACTTCGGTTGTTTTATCATTCAGCAGTGCCTTATGGTATTATGTTTATTCGGTTACTACGAAAAGAAGTTCAGCAGCAGTTGATTTTTCTATATGAAGCATCTATTAGATAACACATGCACTTTGCCAGAAAGACCCAGCACAATAATAAGAAGAGCGAAAAATTACCTCCGCAACCTCCAATTAGCAGGAGTGTTAAAAGAGTGCGTAACATATGGCACCAGAAGAAGCGGGCAATACCGACTCGTCTTTCATGACTGCAAGATGCTTCCTTATTTCGTCATCAACGAAATAATGCCTTCTTTTCGACGCCGCTCTCTACACTTTCTTGGCAACGTGGCGCGTTTACTATATATTTAGTCGATTTTTTCTCTGTGTATGTGTGTGTGTGTGTGTGATTGTATATTCGAAACAGTATACTTGACACGCTTATACGTACAATAATGTTCTTTCTATTATTGCTTTGAGAATAAAAATAACATGCTTATATTCCTTCACTCCTGTGACCGTCACATTCTTTTTATTGTCAAAATTTTAAGCATATACTTACTCTAAAAATACCGCATTTTGTCGTTTAGTTATTATTTTAGCAAATTTTGAAGAGAACTGTAAGATTATGAATCTTGATTCGAAAACTTTTTACCAAAAGTTAAAAACGTGTTTATTTAATACATGATGAGACGTGTAGGTATTAAAAAACATCCACTTTTCTTTCGCCCGGATACATTCGAACCGAGATGAAATTAATGGCGAAAGTTATAATTTGGTAGCTTTTATTGGAAATGATACTAAATTTTCTGTAATTTATTAGTCAAAAACAGAAAGTTCATCAAGATATTATTCCCAACAAAAGTCATAACATTGTAGCTACTTGGAAAAAATGTTGAGTTAAGAACTTTCGATACACTTTATAATAATTAAAAGCTGTGATTCAAAAACGTTTGTTAATGTAATGTCTTATACAAGTTTTCAGACCTTGAAACAAAAAGTGTAAATAATAGTTTTCCTCTTTTTCTTTTATTTAATGGCCTCGACCTTAAATAAAGGTTTTATTTTGGTACTAACTAATATTATTTGGTATATATACAGAGTGGCCCAAGAGTCTGGAAACGGCCAATTATCTCGTAAATTGCTAGTCACAATTGTACAAAATTTGAGCTACACCTATTTTGGGATACGGAGATTTTTTGTTATTTGCAATGTTGCCAGATTTGCCCTTTCTCTTATATTATTAGCAACTTTGGTTTTTCAAATTCATCACCCTGTATATTCAGTCATTGTTGGAATCTCTTATTTAATACGAATTCAACTTATGATTTTTTGTAGTCTGGAAGGTCTTAAATACATAAAACAGAAGTCTGGCAACGCCTAATTTTCTTAATAAATTTTTTAATACTATTTTCAACTACATCGAAACGTAACAATTGATAGATTACAACATTTTTTAACATAATGGTTACTTTATCAAGTGTTCAGAATGTGCTCCATTTGTGAGTTGACAGTACTCTAATCGATGGTAGAATGCGTCTACCACATTTCTTCATGATTGTCTAGAAATTATTCGAGATTCATCGATAATTCGTTGCCTTAGCTCTGCAAGACTTACTGGTTTAGTTTTGTAAACTGAATTTTTGAAGTATCCCCAATAAAAATAATCTTTCGGATTGAAATCAGGTGAAGTTGGAGGCCATTCAATTCTACCTCGTCTACCAATCCATCGTCCGGGAAATATCTCATTTAAATAACGCCGAACATTTACACCAAAATGAGCTGGAGCTCCATCTTGCTGAAACCATATCTGATTAAAATTGGCCCCAAACAAGTTTCTTAGTGTAGGTACAATTTCATATTTTTCAAGTTTTTAACATTTTGTAACTATCTGACGTTAAATTTCCTTCGAAAAAAATGGCCCAGTTAACTGAGTACCGACTATTGACGATGTCAACGAACTATAGGGGGCGCTTTGACAGATGATCAGCTGATCACGCACGTAGGAAAACAAAACAGAGCTACCATAATCTTTGTAGGTGAATGATTGTTCTGTCTAAAAATTATACGTATTTATTATCTTCCATTGATTTTTTTGTTAAAGCAATGGCAAATAAAGAAATTAAACTTAGTCCACTCCATATTTGAAATATATAGGAAACACAAAAAGACCTTTAAAAGAAGGCGAGGCCTTGTTAAAGGATGGCCATGTTGTATTGTGTGGCAAACATAACAAATTAGACGATTTGTGTCTGCAAACGACTAATTTAAATGGTGCCAAACATGAAATCACTGTGGATGTGTAAGAGGCTAGTGGGTGGCAAAATGCACTTGTAAAGCCCGCCAGGAAGGAATGTGCGTGTGTTTTATTATGCATTAGTCTAGCACTAACCAGTTCCTCATTGATTTTTCTTTCGTATTTTCCTTTAAGAAGGCATTGAGAGGGAACAACACCTTTCTTTGAAAGTTTCTTTTTCCCTGCTACAACTGTAATATAAATTTTAATTAAGATCTATGTTAGTGTATATATTTGGTTAGGTTAGGTAGGCACATTATATATAATAATGTCGCAATTCTGTTCAGCAACTTTACTTGAAAAAAAAAAAAAGAAAAATCTGTTGATAAAAAATATTGTGAACACACCATCATATCACTTGATATCGATTTCCCAAATTTTAATTCATGTGCCTAACGATCTTATAGATTTTTGTCAGGAGGAAAAAGTGCATACTTATTCCTTCCGATCGATACAATACTGTTTGCATTTACTTTTTATTAACATTTTGTTACCTTATTGTGCTTTATTTAATAATATTTAAAATGTTTATAACTATGTTATGTGTGTATAACTAAATACAAAATGTTTTGTTATCCTACGAGCACTAGTTCAAAATTTTACCGCACCGTGCCGCCTCTTTCGTTTGACATCGCCAAATACATTTAATTTTTGTTGTCTTTGAGTATGGTTTTAACGCATCCAGTGTGGATTTACGTCACTCAAGTACCTTAAATTGTGTCGATTTACACTTCCACACAGTGTAAAGGTTGCTTCATCGGAAAAACATATTCTGTTAACGAAACATTTATCATTTTCAATAATTTTATCTATCATTACCCCAGTAAACTCTAATCTACGATCGAAGTCATGTTCACTAAATTCTTGCAATAAGTTAATTTTGTATGGTTTAAATTTATTTTGACGTAATACACGTAAGACTAAAGAACGACCTACATCATATACTTGTGCAACTCTGCGTGAGGATGTATGTGGATCTTCAAAAAACTTTGCATTATATCTAAAATTTGGTTGTCATTCATAACTCTTTTCGGTCTACCTAATCGGTATATATTTTTTACTTTTCCAGATTCCTCAAATCGCTTTACAGTTTTTTGTACCGTCGCCATATATGAATAAGATAACGGTTTGGAAAAGTATAATTGACCAAGTTGCCTACTTTACAATAAGTTCTTTTTCTGTCACCGTACCCTCTCTTTATTAGAATAGTAAAATTCCTTCTTTTTCGTTAAGAACTATTTTAGAGAAGCAATTTATCTTGCACAACTTTTCGAAACACAACTACTGTCAGTTTTAGTTAATAATGTAAATGGTGAACAAATATTAAAATCACGGCATTCTACATTTAAATATTAAAATTTATTAAAATCCACATATTTTGCACTGTTTTATGTATTTAAGACCTTGCAGACGACATAAAATCATAAGTGTTACATACGGTTGAACTCGTATTGAATAGGAGATTCCAAAAATGACTGAATATACAGGGTGATGAATTTGAAAAACCAAAGTTACTAATAAGAGAAACGGCAAACCTGGCAACATTGCAAATATCAAATATGGAATCTCCGTATCCCAAAATAGGTGTACCTTAAATTTTGTACAATTATAACTAGCAATTTTCGAGATAATTAGCCGTTTCCAACCTTTGCGCCACTCTGTATATAAGCAGATTGTTTACTAATATTTTTAAATTATTAGTCCGGGGATGTTTCTATTCTTTCTGTACCTAATCGTACAAGTCCTTTTTTTTCAATAAACTACATTATTTTCATTAATCATATTATTTTTCATAAATCATTCTTGATTAGAGAAATTGAAATTAGAAATATTTTCATTTATTGATTGATTTAGATCGTTTTTACTGGAACACTGCCTTCTATAATACCTATGTTTCTGTTAAATTTATTAACGAAAACGATCAAAAATGATTACAACTTTTTTTTTAAATC